GCCTGTAATCCCAGCTACTTAGGAGGCTGAGGCTGGAGAATTGCTTGAATCCAGGAGGTGAAGGTTGCAGTGACCAGAGATGACACTATTGCACTCCAGCCTGGGTGAGAAGAGCAAAACTCTGTCTCAAAAATAAAAATAAAAACAAAGAGGGGAAACCGGAATAAATTAGCTTTTGGAAAGGAAAATTTCTTGTTTGGCCATTTGTGTATAAGGTTTGTAACATTAGAGGCTGTGAGCTTGTGTTATATGGTAATAAAGCCAATGAAGAGAAATGTCTGTGTAATTCTGATTCTTTATTCTTTTACCCTGTAAATTTGGGGTGGATTCATTACCAGTTGAAGCAAAAAAATGACAGTTCCTAGTTTTAATTATGGTAGAGATGAGGATGAGAGTTTTCACCTGTCATAAAAGTAGCACATTTATTGTTGAAAACTTATAAAATACGGTACAGATAAAAAAATAACACCTATTATCCAAAGAGAGTACTAGTTCTATTTTGGTATTTATCCTTCTAGTCTTTACTTTTTATAAATTTATGTATATGAAATGTGTTTATTTTATAGAGAAGATTCCATATATACTGCTTTATAACCCTTTTTTCCCATTCATCTATCATTAACATCTTTCCAAGATATTTGTCTACACTCTCCTTTTGTTAAATTTTTTTTTGTTTTTTTGAGACAAGAGTTTCGCTCTTGTTGCCCAGGCTCAAGTGTAGTACTGCCATGATCTCAGCTCACTGCAACCTCCACCTCCCACGTTCAAGTGATTCTCCTGCCTCAGCTTCCCAAGTAGCTGGGATTACAGGCATGCACCACCACGCCTGGCTAATTTTTTTTTTTTCTTTTTTTTTTTGAGACAGAGTCTTGCTCTGTCACCCAGGCTGGAGTGCAGTGGCACAATCTCGACTCACTGCAAGCTCCACCTCCCGGGTTCATGCCATTCTCCTGCCTCAGCCTCCCGAGTAGCTGGGATTACAGGCATGCACCACCACGCCTGGCTAATTTTTTTTTTTTCTTTTTTTTTTTGAGACAGAGTCTTGCTCTGTCACCCAGGCTGGAGTGCAGTGGCACAATCTCGACTCACTGCAAGCTCCACCTCCCGGGTTCATGCCATTCTCCTGCCTCAGCCTCCCGAGTAGCTGGGATTACAGGCATGCACCACCACGCCTGGCTAATTTTTTTTTTTTCTTTTTTTTTTTGAGACAGAGTCTTGCTCTGTCACCCAGGCTGGAGTGCAGTGGCACAATCTCGACTCACTGCAAGCTCCACCTCCCGGGTTCATGCCATTCTCCTGCCTCAGCCTCCCGAGTAGCTGGGATTACAGGCATGCACCACCACGCCTGGCTAATTTTTTTTTTTTCTTTTTTTTTTTGAGACAGAGTCTTGCTCTGTCACCCAGGCTGGAGTGCAGTGGCACAATCTCGACTCACTGCAAGCTCCACCTCCCGGGTTCATGCCATTCTCCTGCCTCAGCCTCCCGAGTAGCTGGGATTACAGGCATGCACCACCACGCCTGGCTAATTTTTTTTTTTTCTTTTTTTTTTTGAGACAGAGTCTTGCTCTGTCACCCAGGCTGGAGTGCAGTGGCACAATCTCGACTCACTGCAAGCTCCACCTCCCGGGTTCATGCCATTCTCCTGCCTCAGCCTCCCGAGTAGCTGGGATTACAGGCATGCACCACCACGCCTGGCTAATTTTTTTTTTTTCTTTTTTTTTTTGAGACAGAGTCTTGCTCTGTCACCCAGGCTGGAGTGCAGTGGCACAATCTCGACTCACTGCAAGCTCCACCTCCCGGGTTCATGCCATTCTCCTGCCTCAGCCTCCCGAGTAGCTGGGATTACAGGCATGCACCACCACGCCTGGCTAATTTTTTTTTTTTCTTTTTTTTTTTGAGACAGAGTCTTGCTCTGTCACCCAGGCTGGAGTGCAGTGGCACAATCTCGACTCACTGCAAGCTCCACCTCCCGGGTTCATGCCATTCTCCTGCCTCAGCCTCCCGAGTAGCTGGGATTACAGGCATGCACCACCACGCCTGGCTAATTTTTTTTTTTTCTTTTTTTTTTTGAGACAGAGTCTTGCTCTGTCACCCAGGCTGGAGTGCAGTGGCACAATCTCGACTCACTGCAAGCTCCACCTCCCGGGTTCATGCCATTCTCCTGCCTCAGCCTCCCGAGTAGCTGGGATTACAGGCATGCACCACCACGCCTGGCTAATTTTTTTTTTTTCTTTTTTTTTTTGAGACAGAGTCTTGCTCTGTCACCCAGGCTGGAGTGCAGTGGCACAATCTCGACTCACTGCAAGCTCCACCTCCCGGGTTCATGCCATTCTCCTGCCTCAGCCTCCCGAGTAGCTGGGATTACAGGCATGCACCACCACGCCTGGCTAATTTTTTTTTTTTCTTTTTTTTTTTGAGACAGAGTCTTGCTCTGTCACCCAGGCTGGAGTGCAGTGGCACAATCTCGACTCACTGCAAGCTCCACCTCCCGGGTTCATGCCATTCTCCTGCCTCAGCCTCCCGAGTAGCTGGGATTACAGGCATGCACCACCACGCCTGGCTAATTTTTTTTTTTTCTTTTTTTTTTTGAGACAGAGTCTTGCTCTGTCACCCAGGCTGGAGTGCAGTGGCACAATCTCGACTCACTGCAAGCTCCACCTCCCGGGTTCATGCCATTCTCCTGCCTCAGCCTCCCGAGTAGCTGGGATTACAGGCATGCACCACCACGCCTGGCTAATTTTTTTTTTTTCTTTTTTTTTTTGAGACAGAGTCTTGCTCTGTCACCCAGGCTGGAGTGCAGTGGCACAATCTCGACTCACTGCAAGCTCCACCTCCCGGGTTCATGCCATTCTCCTGCCTCAGCCTCCCGAGTAGCTGGGATTACAGGCATGCACCACCACGCCTGGCTAATTTTTTTTTTTTCTTTTTTTTTTTGAGACAGAGTCTTGCTCTGTCACCCAGGCTGGAGTGCAGTGGCACAATCTCGACTCACTGCAAGCTCCACCTCCCGGGTTCATGCCATTCTCCTGCCTCAGCCTCCCGAGTAGCTGGGATTACAGGCATGCACCACCACGCCTGGCTAATTTTTTTTTTTTCTTTTTTTTTTTGAGACAGAGTCTTGCTCTGTCACCCAGGCTGGAGTGCAGTGGCACAATCTCGACTCACTGCAAGCTCCACCTCCCGGGTTCATGCCATTCTCCTGCCTCAGCCTCCCGAGTAGCTGGGATTACAGGCATGCACCACCACGCCTGGCTAATTTTTTTTTTTTCTTTTTTTTTTTGAGACAGAGTCTTGCTCTGTCACCCAGGCTGGAGTGCAGTGGCACAATCTCGACTCACTGCAAGCTCCACCTCCCGGGTTCATGCCATTCTCCTGCCTCAGCCTCCCGAGTAGCTGGGATTACAGGCATGCACCACCACGCCTGGCTAATTTTTTTTTTTTCTTTTTTTTTTTGAGACAGAGTCTTGCTCTGTCACCCAGGCTGGAGTGCAGTGGCACAATCTCGACTCACTGCAAGCTCCACCTCCCGGGTTCATGCCATTCTCCTGCCTCAGCCTCCCGAGTAGCTGGGATTACAGGCATGCACCACCACGCCTGGCTAATTTTTTTTTTTTCTTTTTTTTTTTGAGACAGAGTCTTGCTCTGTCACCCAGGCTGGAGTGCAGTGGCACAATCTCGACTCACTGCAAGCTCCACCTCCCGGGTTCATGCCATTCTCCTGCCTCAGCCTCCCGAGTAGCTGGGATTACAGGCATGCACCACCACGCCTGGCTAATTTTTTTTTTTTCTTTTTTTTTTTGAGACAGAGTCTTGCTCTGTCACCCAGGCTGGAGTGCAGTGGCACAATCTCGACTCACTGCAAGCTCCACCTCCCGGGTTCATGCCATTCTCCTGCCTCAGCCTCCCGAGTAGCTGGGATTACAGGCATGCACCACCACGCCTGGCTAATTTTTTTTTTTTCTTTTTTTTTTTGAGACAGAGTCTTGCTCTGTCACCCAGGCTGGAGTGCAGTGGCACAATCTCGACTCACTGCAAGCTCCACCTCCCGGGTTCATGCCATTCTCCTGCCTCAGCCTCCCGAGTAGCTGGGATTACAGGCATGCACCACCACGCCTGGCTAATTTTTTTTTTTTCTTTTTTTTTTTGAGACAGAGTCTTGCTCTGTCACCCAGGCTGGAGTGCAGTGGCACAATCTCGACTCACTGCAAGCTCCACCTCCCGGGTTCATGCCATTCTCCTGCCTCAGCCTCCTGAGTAGCTAGGACCACAGGTGCCCGCCACCACACCCAGCTAATTTTTTGTATTTTTAGTAGAGATGGGTTTCACTGTGTTAACCAGGATGGTCTCGATCTCCTGACCTCATGATCCGCCTGCGTTGGCCTCCCAAAGTGCTGGGATTATAGGCATGAGCCACCGCGCCTGGCCTAATTTTCTATTTTTAAGAGATGGAGTTTCACCATGTTGGTCAGGCTGGTCTCAAACTCCCTGCCTCGGCCTCCCAAAGTGCTGGGATTACAGGCATGAGCCACTGCACCCAGCCAAAAATTTTTTTTTAAAGCTAGTTTATTGAGTTCGTGTTATGTGTCAGTGCTATCCTAAGTGCTTCAGGTATGTTAAACCCGTTTGTAAACAGGAACTGGTGCATATGGATTAATTAACTTTCCCTGAGCTATACAGCTACTGATTGGCAGAGCTGGTATTTAAATATTGACAAATATAATTGTTATTTCTATTTCATCATATGAATTTGCTATAAATTATCTAATTGAATACTTTATGATTTTCAGTTTGATCCCAATGTTTTTGGTTTTATAAGCCATGTAACAATAGAGCTTTTATTTATTTTTTTTTGAGACAGAGTCTTGCTCTGTCACCCAGGCTGGAGTGCAATGGCATGATCTTGGCTCACTGCAACCTCCGCCTCCCAGGTTCAAGTGATTCTCCTGCCTTGGCTTTTCGAGTAGCTGGGATTACAGGTTCATGTCACCATGCCAGGCTAATTTTCGTATTTTTAGTAGAGACAGGGTTTCACCATGTTGGCCAGGCTGGTCTTGAACTCCTGACCTCAGGTGATCCACTTGCCTCGGCCTTCCAAAGCGCTGGGATTATAGGCGTGAGCCACCAGGCCCAGCCCCCCACAGCCTTTTTTTTTTTTTGAGACACAGTTTTACTCTGCTGCCCAGGCTGGAGTGCAGTGGCACAGTCTTGGCTTACTGCAACCTCTGACTCCTGGATTCAAGTAATCCTCGTGCCTCAACTTCGCGAGTAGCTGGGA